GAAAATGTAGAAGTTAAAAACTATAGTGCTAAAATATTTAAATTAGCTAAAAAAATATACTGTTTAATTTATTGGCTAAAATTTAAGATTTAATTCATTTGGCTAAAATTGATCAACTTAATTTGGCTAAGAAATAAAAAAAAAATAAGTTACTTTAAATTGTTGATGTATTTAAAAAAATTTGTTTGTTTTTTTTAGAACATGTTGGGAAATATTTTATTTAAAAATGGCTAAAATGCTTAAATTAATGATGGGTACAATTTTGTATTATCTTAAATGACTAATTGTTTTGTGTTACCTTCTCTTTTTGAGGCTTTTCACCTGCCTACTGCCAATTTTCAATAAATAAATAATGAAATGACTATCAAATTGCTGTTCATTGAGTGAAATCCAGTTGGAATGTAGAGGACTATCCTTTTCAAGTGGGGAATTGCACAAGAAACCACATTAATACTTGACAACCTTAAAAAGGCCGTTAATGCTAGAAAACCCTCTAATGTAACTGAATTAGAACAATTCTGCAAAGATGAGTGGGCCAAAATTCCTCCAGAATGCTGTAAAAGACTCATTGCAAGTTATCGCAAAAACTTGGTTGCAGTTGTTGCTGCTAAGGGTGGCCCAACCAGTTATCAGGTGTAGGGTCACAAAGGGCCATGATGGTTTGGATTTTTTTTTGTTCCTTTAATAGAAAAAACCTTCATTTACAAATTGCATTTTGTGTTTACTTGTGTTGTCCTTGACTATTGTTTAAATTAGTTTGATGTTCCGAAACACTTAAGTGTGACAAACATGCAAAAAAAACAGGAAATGAGGAGGGGGGGGCAAAAACACTTTTCCACACCACTGTAGATAGATACTCAAATCAGAGATGCAGAGATTCATGGCTTTGCATCAAATACCCTTTTATTAACCTTCAGGGAGATATAATCAAAACAATCATTAATCTGTGACCCTCACCTGATTCCCCATCCTATCACGCCAGACCACCCAGCTGCTGCCGTCCCGGCTGTACTTTATTCTGTATCTCTTAGCGAACTCGTTCCCCATGCCGTCTGCATGGCGACCCTGGGAGCCCACAAGGGTGATGAAGTGCAGCGTACGCAGATCTACCTGGAGGTACTCTTTGAAGCCGTCTGGCTCTGACATGATGTCAGGACACCAGGCCCCATCGCCGTCGCCGGTGTCAGAGTCGAGTCTGCAGAGGGTGAGGGAAAAGGGAAAGGAGGCAGTGAAGGAAAGGAAGGACATGGAGTCCAGGAATACTTTCCATGCTTTAATGACTCTCAGCTTATTTAGAATGAAAATAAAACTGAGCTGAGCTGTTAGAATCAAAATAGGGAATGAAAGTTACCTTCCAAATCGTGCAGCAGTAGACTCTGACCACTGGCTGGAAGCAGAGATGTGCTCATCCTGGATCTGCCCTCCAGTCATGCCCAGAGGATAGCGACACATCTCTGCAAACATAAAGCAACCAATTAGGATAATAAACGCTTTCAGGCTCTCATCAGAGGAATTATATATGATAAACAGACACACAGAAGCATTTAGTGGAAAGAAAATTACACACATTAAAGACTTTACCAAACAGACCCATAGGTACATGGTAATTAGTTAACTTTGCTCAGTTACATTTACTTGTGTAACTGAGAAAATTAACAATTAGAAAAAACAAACAATACTTTTTAAATTATATCTGAGTAAAAACATGAAAGAGAATCATTACTCCTACTTGACTAAAATTTCGGACTCCTCTACCCATCGTGACTAACTATGCTTCATAAAAACATTGTTTTAAACATAATTGCCAGATAGAGACACACCTGCTTCTTTTTTGTACTCAAGGCTTATTGGTTTTAATGTTCTTGTCCATCTATTGACTCAGCTTCATTTGGAGGTGGAGTGTAAATACAGCAAACAGTATACTGTAAAAAAAAAAGTATTTTGAAGAGCATTCCTTCCACATAAATTTGTTATTGCTTAATTTCTAAATGTTATATTTTCATATACGCTGTATATATTTACCTCATTCTTTGAAACGGCAGAATTTCCATATAACTTCATATGCTGTGTAACTTCACACTTTTAATGTATTAAATCATTTGATCTGATATTGTGTAGTTAGAACATCAGTTGCTCAGTATTTATGGATGGCTTTTTACCAAATACTAGTTATTTCTTTGATAACTCATTTTTATTTTAACTTCATTAAAATGCAAGTAGTGCTTCTTTTACTTGTGTACAATTTCTGGGTACTCTACCCATCTGCAGAAATTTTAAAAGTG